GGCCACCCCTGCTGGTTTCCAATGGCAGTTTATCGAGAGTTATTTTGCAGAAAATTTATGATACATCTGAGACGTATTTCGCGTAATAGGAACATTTGGAGGTTTGTAGTAGTCCCAGAAATGATTGAGAACGTTGTTTCGGCAAATATCTAATGCATGTATGTTAACCAAAGACGTTTTACTTAAATGAATATGTTGAGATATGGTTCTCTTACAGCCTAAGTGTCTTTACAGTATTTTGTGAGACCTCCTTGCCCTGCAATACACGACTGAATGCATCACCTATCAAAGTTTTTTTGAAATCGTGTGACAGCTCATCCTAATATTCGACCACCTCTTTCTTCATATCCTCAATATTTCTAAGTCCTCTTTGGTTTATTCTGTCCTTCATTAGTCCCCTTCTCAATAGGGTTACGATATGGTGTGTAGCTGGGCCAGTCTAAAACTTGAACATTTTCGTCCGACAACCACTGTTTAGTGTAGCCCGCAGAGTGTTTTGGGTCGTTATCATGCTGGAAAATACAATTATCTTCATACAGTGTTCGGGCCGTTGGAAGGAGGTGACCATTTAAGATGTCAACATATCGTTCCTTTGTCAGATTTCCAGTGAAAATACACAACGGCGTCACACCACGTGATGACCCTACATGTGAAATCTCGGGCTATGTTTTGGGCGTTGGTAGATAAGTTATACGGTATCCTTTGTCCAAATTTTCACACAGTTTGGAAAAGACCAGACAGAACTTTCATCACAAAAGAAAAAAATCATTCAAATCTTGATTGGTACATCAAAAATGAGCTTCTCACATTGTACCCATGTGGGGAATCGAACACAGGTATTCGGAGTAACGAGCGAACGCTTTAACCACTTGCCTACCCAATCGCCCCTACAAAAACATTAACGCTCTGAAGCAGATACAAACTTATACAAGTAACACCAAATGTGGCTCATGATGAGAGCCGCTTCGCAACGCAAATTTCAGAAGGGAAACCAATTTTGCCGGAACAAGTGTATGTGCGCACGTGTCGATCGCCGCATATTAAACAAACAGTGCAAATAAGTTTTAAGCGTGACTTTTGCTTCCTCGTTCAGATTTTCAGATTTCAATACATATGACAGAAACAGATATCATGGTAAAACAATCATTTCATCACATAAACACGATGATAGCCGCAAAATGTTCGACAACTCTTCCGAGCGTGACTCTCGTCGATGCAACTGCAGAGGCAGGCGGGCCTGATTACTGTGTGTTGCGCAACACCAGGCTTAAAAGGCCATGGGTCGCATTGCTTGCTGTGCAGTTAATGTCATCGATGCCCTGAATCACATCAATATTATTGAAGTGCTGTGATGAGGGCGAGGGGGTGCAATCGTGTTTTGTGGTAAAAATCGGAAACGTCAAATGAATTATTAATGAATATAAATGAATATGGCTACTGTCAATAATATCAACTGCGTTGTCAGTGAAGCAGATAACGAATCTGAGGCGTGCCTTTGTGGTTTTAACGTTGCGAAACACATAGAGGGGAAAGATGAAAACAAATGCGGAATACGTGGTCAATCTATCTGTTTATCTTCTTGCTTCCAGGTACACAAACACATTAAGAGACGCTCGTGTCTATGCGGTTGGTACAGTTTCCAGTATAAAGTAATACAAATCACAATATGGGGGGCGGTGGGGTAGCCTAGTGGTGAAAGCGTTCGATCGTCACGCCGAAGACCCGGGTTCGATTCCCCACATGGGTACAGTGTGTGAAGCCCATTTCTGGTGTCCCCCTCCGTGATATTGCTGGAATATTGCTAAAAGAGGCGTAAAATTCAACAGACTCACAATATGCGCCGTCATACCATAGTCTCTGGCATTATATATGATGACAATTAGCACCGCTATTGTTATTTTTCCTTATGAAATAGCATATTTTCCAACACATTGTATCCTTTACTTATTTTATCACGAAAAACACCAGTTGTTTCTGTTTACACTTCAATATAATAAGAGGTAGAGTCGTATAACCCTTGTCACTTGCAGATGAATCTGAAGACTAACAACTAGTCTCTGAAATGAACAAATTTTACTGAAAAAGGTTCATAGTAAAACAAAAATAAAATAACATGAAAAGGAGCCCTGAGACTTTCTTCATTTTCAGAAGCTGTGGAAATCTGGACTTGCCACATTTTCTAGACTTGCGTTGGCTTTCTTGGATATATTTACTTCAGGGTCTGTACGACAGACTAATGAATCTGTTGACTTAAGACTCCTTCGCATGACTCTTTCGACAATTACACGGTATCGTTGTATAGAATCAGAAGTGGATAGAGAATTAAAGAAATAAACATTGTTTGGTACACCTACATTAATATACATATACGCTTCTCTTAAGACATATGGTTAATAATGACAAAAAGCTCATTTCTTGTAACACGTGCTTTTTTCGAGGAGGCCAATAATACAATAAAACCCAAACGATTACGTACTTTTTAACAACCTACACACATTTATCTCAAAACGTCAATGAAAGAAGTCACAGCCATAATCCCCTCGATTCCCCAACTATTCACTGCCCGCACTTATTTGGTTTGGTCCGGCGAGCTTATTTGTGATCCGGATTATAATCGCCGCCGTTGTGTACAAGGTCCAATGCCTTTTCGACATCAGCACGCTAATAGTGCCATACCTTGAACCTTCGACAACAAAGCACACAGACACTAAAGCTAGGTGATTGGGCAAAAATATCTCACAAAGGAATTGTCTTGATAGCCAAGATTACCCATACTTAGAGCATATAGGCATAGGTATATGGGTCAACTTTGACAATGACAATGAACTCAACGGTTTAACCTTTAGATTGTTTAGGGGTTTAAGGGTTCTAAATTTACCTTAGTAACACCTTTGACATATTTTTTTGTTAAAGCCCTTTAAATGTCTTAATTGCTAACAAGGATCCTTTGGCCAGTCCCATATGACAGAAAATACATTTGAAGTAAATTTCGCTGAGCTCGGAATTTAAACCAACTTAAATAAAATGGTTTAGAAAGTTTAAAAGATAAGACTGCAGGGAAGTGTCATATTCTTTACTGAAATATATAATAAAAACGCGGTAATAAACTTTCTTCCTTATCGAAAATACATGCAGATTAACATAAACAACAGTGCAGGACGTATGCATGTTTTATTACTACATTACAAACAGACGCTGCCAGGTATCCGAGTGCAGGTATGCAGGACACAAATATATATTTGTTATTTTGTATATCTATATTTCAATATTCTCCACATGGGATTTTTTTATATTTTCATACACGATATTCATATACGGGCAACATATCTGTATTTTACAGTTAATATGCACGGTTTACCATACATATAGACATGCGGTATCATGTTTTTCTATCTCTATATATATCAGCTATACGCATCAAGTTGAAATATATGTGCTATTAGACTGTATCAAAGTCCCTGAACCATATTATTTTCCCTACAGCCTAGTCCTCGCTGCAATGCTAAAGGAAGCAAGTCTAGTTTCCTCAGGTTCTGAATCTCCCAACTCACTGGGGCTCCTTTTCAATTTAAATGGGTTAATTTGTTACTATCAAAATTATATATATTCAGGGACTAAGCATCAGTCTATATATATAAATAAATGTTTGGACCGCTGGTCGACATGGATTGCTTGATACAATTCATTGCCTCGTCGAAGTGAGTGAGTGAGTTTAGTTTTACGCAGGACTCAGCAATAATCCAGCTACATGGCGGCGGTCTGTAAATAATCGATTATGGACCAGACAGTCCTGTGATCAACAGCATGATCATCGATCTACGCAATTGGGATACGATGACAAAGGTCAACCAAGTCAGCGAGCCTGACGACAAGCATGGGTTGCTGAAGACCAATTCTAACCCGCATCTTCACGGGTGCCTCATCGAAGTCACTCTGTATTACATACGCCTACATATATATACATCAAAGGGCACGGTACATGCAGAGTAAATAACTTAAACCTTTCAGAAGTTAGTCACTATCTATCCGTATCCATACAAAATATACCCATGCTATACCCCTTCAACTTTTTAATTGGAGAGGTGGTGTAGGGTATGGGTGTGAGGTATGTGGGGGTTGGCTGGGGAGGTTTGTTGAGTATATAAGCTATATCTTTGCGGTATGCTGAGTAAGAGGGGGCGTTTGTGATACTAATGTGTAATACAAATGCCCGTGCAGTTTATGCTAGCACATATTGCGTTATTCAAATGGGAGAAACAATGAATTGCAAGCAGCTAATGTTTCATACAGCGATCATTTTACACAGTCACACAGAGCGTTCATTCGCTGTTGCTGAATCAAGATAAGCACGAGAAGTGAAACCTTGTACACATAATCCGTATTGTTGAATTTAACCCACTGTTATTTATTCGTCAGTCGTGTACAGAATAAACAATTGCCAAAATATGTACTTTGGAACTTAGCGTGTGAGATGCCAATGTCTCGAGAAAAACAACTACAATGGCACGGGTGGATCTTATGAATCTTTCGAAATACAAACACTCAACTATGTTTTCATATAAATTCAACTTTTGTTTTTTTAACGGCGAGGTAGGATTACAGTTAAAAACACATAGTAATCCAACCGATGTTTTTTCATGATGTGTGCGAGCTTCCTTGTCTAATGCAAAAACAACACGCCCATTACATATATACTTGCAAGGCGAGTCTACAGCACTCGTGATAGCGTACACCTCACCACGTGCAGCGTTCGTTTCAGTCTAATTTCCTTCACTACAACCACCCGAACAGTCATCTAAGTACTTTCCACAGCCTTTGTTGAACGGGTTTTAGTCAACGATCTCGCACCGAGACTAAAAGATGTAACCTTACTTTGTCTATAGCGAACTTGAACGTAGTGGTGTGACCTGATACGAGACGGAACTGAGTGCGGCGATTGACCAATCAGCGTCGGCCTTCCTGGAAAGCCCCTCTTTGTTCGTACATGAGTAGGCTCGACACGCTCTCAGTTCAGTTTAGCGCTAGCTGTCGTTGAGAGAGGACCGTGTTACAATGGCTCCACTTATTTCTGAGGATTTACCTTGTGCTCCGGAGAGTATTGACTTATACAGATGTGAATTGGAGCTTAGGAAGCTTACATCACTATCTAAGGATTCAGAGAAGAGTGAAAAGTGAGTAGCATATCGTTTTTCCTTACTTTATATTAGTTTTAACCTATAGCGAACAGGAATGGGGACTTGTTTGCATGTTTATCTCAGCTGAGTCACTGATTAATCACCGCAGATATTTATATGTTTTCTGCCTTGGCAAAGTCCAGGTCGTGACGTTAATTTTATTCGACAATATTGCTCATTTTGCACCGGAGACCGAGAGTTACAAAATAAGTCAATATTTGCATTGCCCTTAACTATATGTGTGCATCATGTTTGGAGTCAAGCCAAAAGTTACTTTTTTAATTGCGTAATCTTTTAGTAAATCGAATGTTAAGCATGAATTTACTGCAGTTATGTGTTTAAATGTAACTCAGAAAGTAATTTTGTTAACGCTGATGCTGCGTTATCAGCAAGCGCAGATGTTCCCGAGAGCCAGCTGACTCGCGGGCGGTTGGGACTCATTCGCACACCGTGTGACCGACTTGTCACGGGCGGTGTCTTATGATTCGTCACGCGCAATCTAACTCACCTTCAAATCATGGGATCTAACTTGTGATTTAGCCTACAAAATAAGTAGTGGCTGTGAAGCACATACCATGTGCTTGTCAACATGTTTACGGAATCTTACAGCCACGATCTAACCGCTAGTTGTTTATTGAGGGGGAATTCCTCTGGCGATCAATACGATCAGCGGACGGTCTACAGTCTGAGTCAGGGCATAGACAGGCGCGCCTGGGAGGAATTCCCCCCGAAGTTTTCTCAGTGCAATTTCCACAGGCAAATATTTGTGATGCCCCAAATTCCATCGTCTAGACACTCCCTTTTATCTCGATAAAAGAGACTTGTGCAACAAATGAATTGAAGTACACTTGGGGTATTTTATATTTTACCCTCCTTTGATCAAAAGAACATTAAATACAGTAATCAGTGTTATATTAGCAAATAATCTATTTATGAAAGTAGTTTGAAGTTATGCCGATTACAAAAGTCGATATCATATCATGTGAATTCCTGGTATTATTTCTGCAAGTTTAATTGTATTTAAATTGTGAAAATTTTATTATGTATTAATTTATTATTATTGTTTTCCAGAACTCCAGTAAGAGGGATTGGCTGTGACCTGGCAAGCATAGTTCGTGATGCCGTGGAGACTGGTCAAGCTACCCATGGGGTGTTCCAGTGTGCTGACCTGCTGACCAATAACCCAGACAGTGTAATGCTGTGTATCTTACCTGATGCAAGTGACCACTGTGACGTCACAGTGCATATTCAACAAACACTGATACAAGCCTTTTGCTGGGAAAACGACATTAAGTTGATTAAGGTATGTAGTCATGTTTTATCACTTACAATTATTAATTAATATTAATCAATGATTTAATTATATTATAACATTCGAGACAAATTTGACATGCAGGACATTAGGCATAGGAAGGGACCTGGCCGTGAAGTAAAGCTGTTACATAAACATTATGTAGGTCATCTAGATGTGTTACTTATCTGCACGTAAACAATTCTTGGAACAGATAGTGTCCTATGTCCTGTTTGTCAATGAAGTACAACTGTTTACGCTACCCGGATGTTAATGGTGAGCAATGTCAAGGCTGTTGCGGTTAACCAATGAAATAAACGTGTTTATGTTGCATTGCAGGTTGACAGCGTAGACAAATTAGCTGCCCTTCTGGACGTCAAGGCTACAAATGATGCTGTTTGCGGACCCGCGTCGTGTGCTCTTATTCAGGTATGCTTGCTTCAATATCATCATTGCTAATCTAGATTCATTATGAATTACGGTCATTAATACATTTTTCGAAGGTTCATAGTATATTTTTATGATGGACTTTACTTGAAATTTATATTTTGTTATTTATTTTTTCAGTTTCCTTCTGGAGACCTAAGCCCTGAGATGGAACGGGTGTCCCAGTACATTGATCACGTGATGTTTAGCGATGTTTATCCAAGACCTGTCATCCGACTTCCTGAATGAACTCGTACTCTGTGCAGCACTGCACTGAGTTCTTAACTGCCAGAATACCCATTCTCTTCATCCTCAAGGACAGGGAACTTCAACCCTTGCGGGTACCTCGAGGTACCGAAAATGGCGACAGCCACACTGGATGAGAGGGTGGGAGGAAGATTTATGACATAAGATCGGCAAGACCATATTGAATCATCCACTGTAGTGACCAGGGGTCAGCTGAACCTGCCCAGGGGTCAACAAGAAGTTATGGCCATCTGCTGCAAGGTGGACATCGGGTCAGATGCTGACGGGTCAACCAAGAAGAGGGACGGGCGGTCAAGGGAAACACCCACACACATGATTCACCTGCCTGTTAGGAGCTAACTGTTACACTGCCGCGGGGGCTGACGGTTGACTGACCAGTTGGGGAGTCGGCCTGACCATGAGAGGGTCATCGATCACCCGGAAAAGATGTCACTTCAAAGACTGACCAGGTAATTAGAATCGTCTTTAGTGAATCATGAACCTACTCCCAGTTAATGTCTGACTCATTTCAATCCTGTCTTTTATTTTAATTTAAGTAACGACATTACACGTGGCGAATGCATAATACAACGTCAGCAACGTGTTCCATTCTTTGATTTCACATCTTATGCCAGCGTGCTTTGCTGAAGCTTTGTAATATTCTAAAATGCAACAGTATGAAACCTGTGTCTAGTGTTTAGCCAACCCACACCTGCCTTGTCATATGCCGAGTCATTTGGTATTTACTATAACCTTTTCTCTTCGCTTTTCCAGGTCAGTGCGTAGACACTGCCACCACGCCGTGGGCGACCACACAATCCGTGGGTGACCAGAACCAGGTGAAGGGTCACAGCCTCGTGCAGCTGTCCCAGACAAGTCACGTGATACCATGTGTCGTCTGCTTGTGAAGCCCAACCGGGGGCGGCGGGAAAAGACTTCCCCGTAGTGTTAGCGGGCTTTAACCAAGTATTTCCTTTGTAACGGGAACTCCTAATATGGAAGTGCCACAATTTTCATCGTTGGAGGCACACTGACTGACTGTAACAACAAATTGAACTGCTCTTACAATGAACAATGCTTATATGCATTTTTCGAATCAACCACCACCAATCCTTTACAAATAAAGGATTGATTAGTGTTCATTGTGGACATCGATAACACGTGTCGGTGTTACGTAGTTGATAGTTTGAAATAAATTTTTTAAAACAATCTGATTTTTTGTGTTTATTTGCTAGTACGAAATGTTTGGCCCTGTTGGCGTTAAATCTTAACTCACTCACTTTCCTGATGACAGTGGATCTGAGGATATAATAAAGAGCCAATTCACTGCTATCGGACTATGGCATAGTTGGTAATATGATGTTACCATACACACAGACGTTTGAAAATGAAATGGGATCTACTTTATTTCAAAATATAAAACTTTACTTGCTAACTCACGCTTAGACTAACAACTAGTCTCTGAAATGAACATATTTTACTGAAAAAAGTTCATAGTAAAAAAAAAAAATATAATGAAAAGGAGCCCTGAGACTTTCTTCATTCTCCTGAAGCTGAGGAAATCTAGACTTGCCACAATTGCTAGACTTGCGTGGGCTTTCTTGGATATATTTGCTTCAGGGTCTGTTCGACAGACTAACTCACGCTATCAGTCATGTATGTGCACTGTCACAAAATGCAGATGTACCATCTCTCAATTTTGACTGACGAGCTAATAACAACCATTACCTATACCGGAAATTGGCAGATATGGATTCAATCAGCTTGCATAACTTATAACACATATATGCTCTTGTTCAGGTAGCAGAGATAACCTCAGTAGACATTCGAGATAGTTGTAGTTCGACACCAATGAATGTATGCCTTTTATGAAATCGAAACCAGATGATAAAAAGTCAAGCCAAGTCTGGTCTATTCCACATGTTTAAACAGCTTCAGGTTTTAGAGGGGAGTCTTGTAAGATTTCATTGTCTTTCGGTTAGTTTAGGGTTGACCCAAACACTAACATCTGGATGTCATAATACATTGATACTTTCTGAGCACATACACACGGCACTTTGCCTAATTCCCAAGAGCGACACATTGTCAACTTTCTGGGAGCATACACAGCACAACGTCTACTACCTGAGTTCATACACGATATAGTGTCTATATTGCACGACACATCAATTGTCATCATTCTAGCAGCATAGACGACGCATTGTCAACTTTCTGGGAGCATACACAGCACAGCGTCTACTATCTGAGTTCATACATGATATAGTGTCTATATTGCACGACACATTAATTGTCAACATTCTAGCAGCATAGACGACGCATTGTCAACTTTCTGGGAGCATACACAGCACAGCGTCTACTATCTGAGTTCATACATGATATAGTGTCTATATTGCACGACACATTAATTGTCAACATTCTAGCAGCATAGACGAGACATTGTCATCTTACTGAATCACGCATGAGATATTCTTACTTTCTGGGAGCAATATCCACACATTTTTTACTCTCTGGGGGCATAAGGGATACAATGGTTACTTTCTGGGAGCACTTTGTACTTTCCACAATCTCGACACATGCTACTTTCTGGGAGCAATCTCGACACATGCTACTTTCTGGGAGTAATCTCGACACATGCTACTTTCTGGGAGCAGTCACGACACATGCTACTTTCTGGGAGCAGTATCGACACATGCTACTTTCTGGGAGCTATCTCGACACATGCTACTTTCTGGGAGCAATCTCGACACATGCTACTTTCTGGGAGCAGTCTCGACACATGCTACTTTCTTGGAGCAGTCTCGACACATGCTTCTTTCTGGGAGCAATCTCGACACATGACACATGCTACTTTCTGGGAGCAGTCTCGACACATGCTACTTTCTGGAAGCAATCTCGACACATGCTACTTTCTGGGAGCAATCTCGACACATACTACTTTCTGGGAGCACACACGAGTATGATGTCCACACGTTGGTTACTGTTGCGACAGAAGAGGTACTGTCAACAACAACATGGCATATGCCCGCCTACTCAATTACAAGAAGTTAAACAAAACTAAATTCGGATAACGCTTATCAACGGGGTAAACAATGTACTTCCTTCACATAGTCAGCTATTCACGGTGTGACCCCAGTCAAACTACATATAGTCATCTCCGAGCATACTAAATAAGGATATCACAAAACAGGCATCATCGAGGCTTCTGAAATACGGCAGGTACTTCACAACGAAGCTGATTAAATCAAACATATTTGTCTCCTGATAACGAACCTAACAAAACTCGGATATTTATTTGATTTCGAAAGTTAGGTCCACACGAAAACATGCCGGAAGGAACGAACATACATAGAATATTAGCTCTGTTTGATAGGGATTTTAGAAGTTGATGAATAATAAGAAAGATACGATACTTTATGGATAACAACTGCTTTATTACATGTATATTATAATGCGACGTCGGTATAGATTCTGATACCTTTGTTAAACAAGAATAAACAGAACTTAATATAGAAGTTGTTATCCATAAAGAATCATACCTTTCTTAGGATTTTAGCTTTGAATGTTTACCTACTCGGTGGAGATCGGGGAAGTGGAACGAGTGAGTATGGTTTTAAGCCGCTTTTAGCAATATTCTAGCAATATCACGGCGGGGGACACCAGAAATGGGCTTCACACACTGTACCCATGTGGGGAATCGAACCCGGGTCTTCGGCGTGACGAGCGAACGCTTTAACCACTAGGCTACCCCACCGCCCGGAAGTGGAAAGAGCATGTAATAAATATTGACGGGGTATTATAAGATATTGACTTACACAACTTGTTTATTTCGTGAGTGCGTCATTTCGATACAGAATCTTGTACCGTGGTTGTATGACCCGTGTCAGACATGGATGGGGTGACAATATAGAACAATATAGAACAATGCCGTTCACTTTGATTCAAATGAACAAATAAAACAACGAAAACAGCGTTAATGAATGTCCTTTTTTGGTAGATGGCCAGGCATTAACACCAATGGTATCTTAACAACGTCGTCTCTCTAAGCCTATTTCACTAAGCCTATTTCACTTGATCTGCACAAAAAACAACCTGTTTTGCAAGTATTTCCACCCACAGCACAAAGACTCTCTAACGATGGCATTTAAGGGGAATCACGTTGGGAAAGCCTCGAACAATAATTAACAATTCATACTGTATCAAGACTACACCACGCATCACAGGACACGATAGACAATGGGTTGTCTTAGTATCAGACCTTGGGGCAACCAAACTGTTATGCTAATTAAGAGATATTTAGCATTACTAATTAAGCTAATTAATCTGGAAGCAAGGGTGCTGTCCGGTTGACGCCCACCGCGATCGGTAAGCCGATATATAAACTGAGACCACGAAGGATACAATAGCGGTCATTAGTGCAAAAGATTATGTTTGAGTTCGTATGGTCCTGTTCAAAATGGAGGCCTTGAAACTTAATACAGATTACGACGAAACCCCGTTAATCCGAACGGCATGAAATGCCCGGATTAACGAATCATTGGTTTAGTGTAACGTGCTATATATACTCTTAGAGGTTCGTAACTATAAATTTCCGGAAAGAGGTGGCTCTGTATTTTAGGTCAGTGTACATTTCCCAGGTGTTAGAGTGAGTTTTACTCCGCTCTTAGCAACCATTCCAGAGATATCCAGAGATGTTCCAGAAATGTGCTTCACAGTTTATTCACAGTTATCACAGGACAGAAAATGATGCCATTATTGTAAAGGTGTAAACTCAGCTCTGACTTGTTAAAATCATTTGTAGATGGAAGTGATTATGGTTTTACGGCTTGTTAAGCACTGGCTCACTCACTCACTCACTCGCTCGCTCATTCATTCTTTCGTTGGGCTCATACACTTGGACGTAGTCGGGAAGCGAATATTTCAATCCGAAGGAGAAGCTGATTCATCAAAAGACCCCACTTTGTTTGCAATGGTATTTTGCTGTCTTGTGTAACCCCTCCTAATGAAGTATCGCACACTTATCCCCCGCATTGCCATGGTGAGCGAGACGCGTCGTTCTCCGAGAGTATACGTGCTGACACATATTCCATGTCCTCTTAGGTCGCCTACAGCAGTTAAATCAGGAAGGAACTGACAGTGTGATGGATGCAGTGTACATGTCACCGATTCTAGGAAGAATGTCTGATCATATATCCTGTTTCATCTTACTAGTGAATGAATCAACTACTATAGCGACGTAAGATCTAATGTTTGAAATGTCACAGATTTCTCTGGGAAAATGTCAGATTTATGACGCTGTGATTAGTGTCAAACCTACACTTATTACCTTATCTGATTTTATGTCATCAAATTATCTGATTTTAAATACCACCGGCGTAGGGTACCGGGTATGTATTAAACAACTGCATGTTTATCTAGCCTGGTGATCTACCCTAAGGGGTCCCTAGCATCAGTGAGGAAATTAACACCTAAGGGGAGATAACTCCAATTGTTTTTGCTAAACGGTTAATCAAGCAGTCATATTGACATATTGATATTGCCAATCGCAGATTTGATCAGCCTACTGGAAGTGTTTGGATGAAGCAAGACTGACGGAACTTACCAGCAATTGGTTTCTAACTCTCGGAATAAACATGATACAACAAACAATGTCCTATGCAAAAACAATAAGCCGACAAAAATGTACATTCTAAAAATCCATTAAAACTACTCCACGTGAAACATACCATATAGACAGTGCCAGTACCTCCGATAGTGATATGAAACTCTTGGACAGTTACACAGGAGATTCATCCATTTAATACGGGTAAAGTCCGTTCTTGCTTAAAATTTGTTGCAAAGTGGTAAGAATTACGAATGTGAACAAGATCCACATAACAGATTATAGGGTTACACCATTTCTATTGTATTACATTATTCCACGGCATAGGTTCTAAGAATGGACAATAAAGGCAATGTTCGGAATCGAACCCGGTCTGTGGTGAGGGTTATTTAAACAGTGAGGTCCGAAAACAGTTTGTGCCAGGCACTGCTGAAGAAAGACACTATAAGTGGTAAATAGGGTAGAATATCCAAAACTAAAGGACAATTTTCTGATTTTAGGTGAAGTGTGAATTCGGCCTTTGTCAATCGTCTTATATAATTTTACTGATGAAATGTTCCATTGACAGACAAGAAAATAGCCGGTTTTCATCTGTTGCAAATACCACCAT